TAAATGTGACCTTGAAATTGACCTTTGACCTACTTTTCACCATGAACTGAATTTTGCAAATTTTGCTTCCGTTTTATCTCCAAAACTGACAGAGATAGGTCCATAGTTATTATTAAACTTGAATAGGAAGTCCTATACTGGCAATATAAGTGTGACCTTGAAATTGACCTTTGACCTACTTTTTATCATGAACTGAACTTTTTTTCTCTTTTAACTTCAAACTTGACAGAGATAGGTTCATAGTTATTCTTGAACTTGAATATGAAGTCATATACTGGCAATTTACTGTGACCTTGAAATTGACCCTTGACCTACCTTACGAAGAACTTAAATTTGATTGTACCATATATGTTTTTTGCAATAGTTTAAAAATTCTTGTTGATTGCATTTTTACAGCTTGTCAAGCACAAAACTGGTGGCTGTGTCCCTTATTTTGTGTATGTGGGGGTCTATACGAATGCGCTTGCTCCAGCTGGTGGTACAATATTCGGAGGCGGTATCGCCTCTCTGATCCTCTAGTTATGATAATGACGTTTCAGAATGCAGGGAATTCCAGGCCCACGTGTCGCCACTCCTGTACGCCGCTCTGCCTCTGGTAATGTGAAGAGAGAGTTTGCCTTGGAGCTTGATGACCAAGATGAGCCAAACAAATATGAAATGCCAAAACTAGTGGATGTTGATGTAGATGAAATTTTGAATGATACAGTGCAGATTCCCAAGACCAGGTATAGGATGATTTTGGTACATGTCCTCGGCCTCATATTGTACTGAGGTGCATTGCATGTGTATTATCTCTTGAATTATGCTAATGAATGTTAAATTGAAAAAAATATAAATAATAAGCGAAAGACAAATTTTGGAAAGTATAGAAATTTCTTTTTCTTCTCTAATTTATTTAACCAATTCAACACATTATTTCTTACTTTTATTTTCCAGAGCTCGACCTCCTAGTCCATTATCTAAACTACTTCACCGCTCAGCTGATGCCAACACAGCTATAGACCTGGTTATATCTCAGATCACAAGTGGGGACATCAGTGTCTGCATACAGTCATTGGCACAGGTCAGAGCAACAATACACTGGCTTTTGGTATTCATTTTTATGTAAGATCATTGGTTTGAAACATTGAGTGTAGCTATGGTGGAAATTACGGGGGATTAAATTATGTTAAAAAAAAAACTGTAACCTACATTTAAGATATATTTTGAAAGTGTAAACTTGAAGAAAGGACAATTATCTTATGGCAAATTTCTTAGAAGGCAAATTATATAATGACCCTCTTTTGCTGTATGATTTTGTTTCATCTCTCATTTCTGTTAAGTATTAAGCTAAGAAAGCAGATGTTGCCAAGCAACTGCCATTATTCATGGTCTTTAAACATTCACTGTTAGATTGATGGCATGTTGAAGAAGGAAGACCGTGCAGAGCTGCTGACCAATCATGTAGACCAGCTCCTGGTGGCCATTACTGTCCAGTTGAAGATGGCCCACACAAAACACATGGGGGACCCAAACACTGACAGTGAAGATGTTATTACACTGTGTAGAGCACTGTTAGGGACACTGCTAGAGGTATCATATTCCAAACCTGCATTTGTTTGAAATAATAATTATTCTGTCATAACATATAAGGCTTGAAAAATAAATCCATTCAGGTAAATTTTTATCTTGCATCACAGAGGTAGGTTGAAATAAATAAAAATATTCCATACTTCCTTTAATGATGAATCTTATACATATAAACAAGGTTGAGCCCTAATGGAACATTTTTGTCTTAGTTCAACTGTAGAACATTTTTGTGTAGTATATAAATGTTACTTCATGTGTTATAAATAGCATCATCACAAATAACATGTCTTGCTTAAATATTGAAATATCTTGCCATTTATCAGCTGTTCCAGTCCAAAGTATTATCCAAAGTTGCCAGCCGCGATGTCCTGAAAGAGCTTATCTCCATGATGGTCACTATTCTGCTTGACCGTCGTCTGGAGGACTTCAGCGAGGGGCCGCAGCTGATGCGGTCAGTCAATGTGATGGTCGTCAAGATTGTGGAAAAATCCAACAGCACAAATGTCATGAGGTAACAAATGTTTTCAATTTTGGATATTATTTATATATTTTTGAGTTATTTCTGATATAAAATTCAAATATTTTCTCTTGTTTTATTTTAGTCTTGTCAATATTTTACATTCCTTTGTCTTTTCAGTGCACTAATAAAACTATTCCATGAATGCATGGCCAGTGAAACATGTTCTTACAAATTTATAGAACTTGTCATGAAGGTAAATACTTGTTCTTTCTTTTAGTAGTAGAAAGTAAAACAAAAAGAAAAAGAGATTTAAAGAACAGCAAAGTATGATAAGTAATGGTGATTAAAAAAGACTTGACTTTGTTAGCTCACCTGTATCTTCTTGAAAGAGGCTTCTAAATACAGCTTTGTTCTTGGCTCTTGAAAATTGTAGCAGTATGTGGTAGCACTAAGGCAGTGTAAAGGTTACCTTTTATCATCATTTTTCCAGTGTTTGTGGAAGATGATGAGGATGCTTCCAGACATTATCAATGATATTGATGTAGAGGTGATTCTCTATGACCTACATGCCTTCCTCAAACAATTCCCCACATACACCTGGAAAGACAGAGCTGAGGGAGACACACCACTGAGGACAGTCAAAACTATTATGCATTCTTTGGCAAAGATGAAAGGAAATAAAGTGAGTTAAGGAGATTTATTCTACAGGTGGAATGAATGCTTGTGTATTTGTGTACTGGTATATTTAAATCAAAAGAAATACAAATGGCTGTTAGAGTAAAATGATTTCATGTCTCATATTGGGATTTTATGTCAATCCCTCTACTCAGAGTTATGAAGTGTGTTACTTATGAATTACACTATTCATTTACCACCAGATCCTCAGTGATATAGGCAGAATAGAGAACCCAGCAGAGTCTGAGGTGGTCCAGTATTTGAACAAGGTGCTCAAGCATGGAGTGGGTGGGGGCACAGCTGTTGCTGTCTCTAATACCAAGAATGAGCAGAATGGCTCCTCTGAAGATTCTAAAACACCCAGGAGAGAGGTAATCATGGTCATTGATTAATTAAAATAAAGATTTAACTAATTACTGCTTGCTCAATACTTGTTTTTGAGTTTAGCTTAGTTTTTATTTAGTATATGCATAAAGTATTAAAATGTTGTTTTTACATGGCAAAATAAGCTTTCTTATTCAGAGATTTTTTCTGGCAAATTCAGTGCATTTAAAGTCTAATATCAGAGATTGTGGAATCTGTGAAGAAATAAACAAGTGAATCTGTGAAGAAATAAACTAGTGTTTAATAACAGGAGATTCAAATTTTACAGAGCACTGGCAAGTCTTCCAAAAGACTGAGTAAAAGTACACATGACACTCTGGCAGAGATATTCAAGAAGATTGGCTCTAAAGAAAATACAAGAGAGGTGGGAGATAATTATAAATATTGTGATGCTTGGTTTCATTTTCAAGATTGAATGTGTGACCTAAAGTGTTTTAAAGACATTATAACAAATTGCAGTTTTGTTTTTGTCTTGTATGGTGGTTTCACATGTGGAACAGTTGTCAGTTACTGGAAGACCAGATATTTTATTTGACCTCTTGCTTTCAGGGTCTCAATGACCTGTATGACTTCAAGCAAAAGAACCCAGAAGCTGACCTTGAACCATTCCTCCGCAAGTCTTCCCAGTTCTTCCAGAATTACATTGAGAGGGGACTGAAGAACATTGAGCTTGAGAGACAGGCAGGAGAGAAGTTGCCCACTCCGTCATTTGGTTGTAAGTTGGCATTCTTTTACATATTAGGAAAAAAAACAGTTAAAGATTCGTACTGGGTATTAAATATATTAACATTATATCAGTTTCCGTGCACTTAGAGATTGGTGAATGAATTACTTTGTATGGTGAACATTTTTATGTTACATATTTGATTAAAGATCAGGTTTTCTGTATCCTGAGTGAAATTTACGACTCGGTGTATAACATTATGCCATAATATGTTTATTGTGTGACTAATGAAAGTTTGATGAGATATTTAGAGTATTTTTCTTAATCTCTACCAGGAAGATTTATTGTCTAAATATTCACAGATATCTCACTTGCTAATTCTGTACTGTGGGGTTTTGCTAAAAAAATGATAATAATAAATAAAATTAATAAATAATAATAATTATAGTGTGATCACTTAACTGCTCTCTGATAGAGAATAGTCCACATATATCTCTAACATATCATCTTCCCAGCCATGTCAAGCCAGCCAGAGGGTGTTCAACTAGGGGCGTCCCTGGACACAGCCAAAGGTGATGTGAACCCTGCCATGTACATGGAGAGACTGAAGATCCTGCGGGCCAGGTGTGGCTTAGATAATAACAGTCAGCAGGTGAGTGCATACACAGTTACTGGTTGTTGTTGTTGTGTGTAGATAGGTATTCTATTGGATTGTGGACTGATGATTATGGTAATATCTAGCCCTTTGTTGTTATCATTTGAAAATTTTTTTAATTTATTTTATTATTATTTTATTTATTTTATTCATTCATTTATTTATTTATTTATTTTTGTTGTTGTTGTTGTTGTTGAAAAGTCCTTTTTTGCAATGATTTTCATACCTTAACATTTTGTTGGAGAATATAATAAGGCTATGAATCCAAGAGACCAACAGCTTTTTTTTTTTTATCCAAAGTGAGTGGGAAAGGGAGTAGTGCTAGATATTACCATTAGCTTACTTCTGTGTGTTGCACTGCAGTATTTCTTTCATAATTTCAATGGTTAAACTTTTTTTCTGTGAATAATATTAATTGTTTTTACGTGTAATACAATGGCCCTCAGTATTCTGTTGCATGCAAGCAATATGTTATTGTATATCTATGTATTGTGTTCAAAATTTTTTCTCGAGTGCTTTTGAGGTAAATTTCAATATCTTCAATATATTGTGTAAAGCTGGTCTTATGTCATTGTTATTGCTTTGGTTGTAGTCTACAGAAACTGTACAGAAACCTGTTAAAAGCAGTAGTGAGGAGACTTTAGCCAGTAATCTTGTGAGTACAATCACAGTGAAACAACCCATTGTATTTGTCCTTTTTCTACATGTCTTTAAAGCTTTTGTGCATGATTGATGTTGTAGCTTAAATAGTACACTTATTGTGTTTTTATAGATTAGACAGATAGATGTGTTGCTGTCCTAGTTTTCTTTCTTATTAGATAATTCATGATGAGTATTGAAAGGTATAATTGACACATGGTAGAATTGAAACAGAACCAAAGATTTGCTGGAAGAATTTTAAGGTATTGACATTGCCTGTATGGGAATCTATATTTCTAATTCCAGCCTACACTTTCAAGTAGTGGCACCAGTACTGCACAACCACAAGAGAGTGGAGATGATAATAGTGAAAATAAGCCTGCTGCCGCTCAAGTCAATGTGGCAGACTTGAAGAAAAGACTGGACCGAATCAAGAGACAAGCACAGATGGACAGTTAACATAACTTATCTTATGATATAAATGTGAAAGGCACATTTGAATAATGTCTAAAAATGTGTTAAACAAGTTGTTACTGAGGACAATAAGCTACTTTGGGGATTTTTATAAGACTAGTATGCAGACAACAATAATATCTCTCTTTGAAGAGTACAGTAAAGAAACAAGGAATGCATATATTAAGGCAACCATGTTAAGAGGAAGATTTAGAAAAAAAGGTCAGAAAAACTTTGAGTAAAAGTTTTTCAATCAAAAGATTAATATTAGTCAACCAGACTGCATTATGGAGAAGACATGTTCAGTATTGCCAAAATTTTACAATAAATGCCAACAATGCTTGCATATGATCACAAAAATATTTGAGAATGCTTTGATAATTAATGTAAAGCCATTAGGTTTATGTACACCAGTATCATGTAATCTTTTCATTTAATTTATGGAACTCCTTATACATATTCAGCCGTCAGTAATTGATGTAGTTTGCATATGTATACTTTGTAATTGCCAAAATGCAGGGGTTACTTGCAGAACTGTATTGAAATACAGATGATTTGTATGAGATGTGCACGAGTGAGAGTGAAGACACATTTGTTGCCATTATTATTGTTATTATTATTATTATATGTATTATAATAACAATTTTTTGTTGATAGATGAATAGTGTGTATATGTATATAAACCAATATTTAACAGATCAGAGTAATCATAAGAGCATGTTTTGATTGTATAGCTGCTCTATGCAAGGTACCTGGCACCAAGGTGGATCTGACCAAATTGTAATAAAGTCTCAAAAGAGTAATTTGTAATTTTGGTTTTCTGGTCAACCCTTCACTTAAAGGAACTACACTGCAAATCTTGCAAATATACAGGCTCCAAATGGCAAAAGAACATTGCAAGAATGTTTACAAACAAGGCAGTAAAGCTGATAAATAGATGATAAATAAATGCCCAAACTGGTGAAAGCAGTGACCATAAAAAATGTAAATCTGAAAAAAATCCCCCCCTCCCCCCCCCCAAAAAAAAGGGGGATTACAAAATAAAATCCTATGGTGCTGCTTTGACCAGTATTTTAGTCCTATAAATCATTTATACAAGTTTGAGAATAATTAGTAAAACTGCTCTTATTTTTGTGTTTGCTAACAAAAACTTGGAAAGGGCATGGAAACAACAAGCAATTTCTGTCCAAAAGTGAAATGCATTGTACAATCCTTATACCATTGTTACAGGAAATTCAGATAGGCACCTTCTCCTGAGATCAACTCTTTACAAAAACGGCTACATTTTATTTTAGATTTCAGTTTAAGCTGTGTTTCTCTTATGCTGTAACAAGACTGCACTGATGCTACAGTTACAGTCTTCGGGACCATGGAAGTTCAAGGGCACTCAATTCAATAATTTCAAGTAAAACAAAAGTATAGTTTGGCATTTATAGGGACTGCTGTGTGGGACAGTGATGACATGGACAGACACTGATCATAATATATACAGACACATATACTGTCTTGATATAAAAAGCGTAACACACTTAAATTTTCATTAAAATTTCAATGAAAATTTATTCCACAAATTCAAAAATAAAAAGCATCCTCTGACTGAAACCTCTGGTTTATGTTATCTTTTTAAAATATCAAAATAGCTGAATGTTCAATTGATAGTGGAGAATGCATGTCCATGTCAGTAATTTTGAATTTAAAAACAACTGTATCCTTGTCCCAAGTTTCAACCAGGTTCATTGGTTACAGGGGTGACAATTGATTTATACATAAAATTTTACAGTATATACAATTAACCATGGGACTATTTATAAAATATTCCGATGCCCTTGCCATAGTCCACAATGGTTTGGTATAAATAGTTCTATACAGTGTAATCTGTTTTCATAAACTGCTGTTAAGAAACTCGTTTCCCAGTGAAAGTTCCCAGCTTACAACCAGCTGAAAACAACCTTGGTAAATATTTCACCATTTTATGATTAGCTGGTGTAGGATGTACAAAGCATGTGAGATTCTTGAAGACCAAATCAATAGTCTCTTCTCTTCTTAGCAGATTTTAGTGCCTCATGCCTGCATCACTGCTCCATCAATTTTACCCTTAAGTTTTATTCCTGAACCTGCAAATCCTGTGGCTCCCTGGAATGGGATGTTAGAATGAAACATGAATTCCTGACCTAAAAATTTGCTATTGCCATAAATGGTCTAACAAAATGGTGTTCCTTGATCAGTATTTTGTCATCAATTAAAATAAACTTTTTTTAAATCTATCATCTCCAATATTTGTCTAATGAAAATGCATTTCAAGAAAGATTATTAAGTTAACGTTTACCATGTAAATAGAATGCCTCATACCAAATATAGTTCATCTTAAAGAACATTAACCCCTACGTCATCAGTGAATTTTGCCACGTCCACATTGAACATATTACACAGTGGTACATGATAAGCCTACCCTTTGGAACTGAATGATGTCCTTTTCTTTGAGAGGTTTTCCATTGGTTGGATCAATCATGTCTTTTTTAATTATCTTCTCCACACATTCCATTGTCACGACATTACCTCTGAAACAGAATATAGACAATAAGAATATGGAACAAAAAACATCTCCAATAAAAACTGACCCAAATAGATGATAGATGACCTTGAATATTTGTGTGTTGCTATTCAGACATGTGGAAAGAGCAAAACATCATTATCAACATTTCTGGATGGCTATAATTACACTCAATAACATGGAATTCAAAACAGACCAAATTTTTTAAGCTTTTTTCTCCTGAAATGCACCATTTTCATGTATAAATTCTTCCTTTTATAAATTTTGTAAAACTCAACCCAACTCAATATTCAAACATATAAAATAAACTACTTACGAAGTTCTCAGCAAAGCACATGGCACGGAATTCCCCAGTGCATCATTGGTGACAGCACACACATAACGAGCATCTCTCTTTACTATCAGTGATCTCTTGTCACCATCATCTTTCATCAACGTGAACTTGACAGGAATCAAATCTTTGAGTTTGAGAGGCTTGCCACTCATTGGACACCTAACTTTCTCATCCTGAAAATGAATGAAGATAATGGGTAAAAGCAATTTTGTAAGCTTGGAGTTATGAATTTAAAACCATATAAGTAGTACTTTACAGTACAGCAATTATATTTCTCAAAGTACTCTTTAAACAGTTAAAAAATATATTGTATTTTACTACCTACATTCAATAATATCACAATTTAAATGTTATTCCCCTTTATCAAGAAATTTTTTTAAAAAATATTAATGGAATTACCGGTTTCTTCAACTCAGTTTTTGTAGCCTGTGGGGTGAGAGATGGAATCCAAAAACTGGGCAGTTCCTTGCCTTTATCTGCTGTCATGTTAGACACACTACTGGTGCTGGGCTGGGTGAGAACTGAAAAGATACATATCTACCAGATATAGATGTTGACAAAAAATTACCTTATTTTAAATTTTGTAAATAAACAAGCTAGAATAAAATATTCTTAATTTAATACGTCTTAATTCTACACTTGTTTAAGGAAACATGAATAAAAATGCTACCAGTAGAATGCGTATCACCACATGATTACCACACCACAAATGAACAAGTCTGGTTTAAATTGCAAACCTTCTTTCATGCCAGTAGCTCTGGTACTGTCATCAAACTTCTGGACCTTATCAGAGTGTTCCTTCAGATTTGTTTCTTTTACTTCATCCTAAAAAATCCATGTAACAGTGCTTGTAAACAGGCAAGTTAAACAAACAATGAAAGAATAGATAAATTAAATGTAAAAATTACACATGCAAAATATTTGAACAGATCATGCTTTTTTGCCCTGTTCTTCTTTGGCACAATAGTTGGATTTATTATTACCTCCTTTCCTTTCTTCTGTTTTTCAAATTGTTTCAATTTTCTTGCTATTTCTCGTTTTTGATGCAGTATGTATTCCAAAATTGCTTCCTTGTCATAGAGATGCCCATCTGGACTGAGAATGAAAAAGAATATTTTAATTATATAAAATTAGCCAAAGTGCTAGTATCCAAATTCTGCTGAAAATATGCTGTGGATTGAAACATTAGCACAACATTACTTGAAACTCAATACATTTTAAATCTTTTAAAAAATGCCATGACTATAAAATGCTTTCTGCATGGAACCATAGGCTATTTTTAAGAATAAAAGTAATTAGAACTAAACTTGTACAAGAATTTCTGCAAAACATAGTTGTAATATTACACATCATGTATTACTTGGAGAATAAAGTAAAACACCTTGTTGGAAAAAAGTTTTTGCCAAAGAGTAGTTTAATTGATAGATACCACTGGACTTGACTTACGTGATCACTGGATCTTTACAAGGTTGTAGAGTTAAGCTGCAACAATCAAAGTCCTGAAGGCAAAATAACAAGAAATGCTGACTTAAATTTGATTTCAACTCTTTACAGGGCTTAAAACATTTATAACAAGAAAAGCACTCCGAGAGCGCAGACCTCCGCCAAGGCAGCAAAGTCTCTACCCAATGCCATTTCACCTCTAAATTTCATTCTATAATGATTTAGTTTTTTTTTTATTTCTGACTATTGATTGATTATTGATCTGGATCAACACCAAAAACTAATCGTGTTCCTTGGCCCACTTCTGACAGTTCCTGAAAATTTCATCAAAATCGGTCCATAACTTTTTGAGTTATGTTGATGACAGACAGATACATGTAGACAAACAAACAAACAAGGGTGAAAACATAACCTCCTTGGTGGAGGTAATTACTATGATCATATTATAAAATGTTAATTTTAAAATATAGATAAGGTCAATGATATGCAAAAATAATCTCTCAGAATAACTGAAAAAAATTCTTGAAACACATTGCAGTAAAATTTGTTTTTAAATATTTCTTTATTGACTTTAGAATACTGTCAGCCTGGATTTAGTCCATGAAACTGGTATTCTGTGTTCTTACTTTCAGGGAATCTTTTCCAAATCGAACTTCATTACTTCCATATCCAGAGGCTGCTGTGTCTCTTTTCTTCTCGTGATAAGTATACACAGATCCTGCAGTACAATTCTTTGAATGGCGAGTCATCTTACCAGCTCTGTAATACTAAAACATACATGAAGAATAAGCAAAAACATCACTAAATTACATAAAGCTTCAAAAATATTTTCTCCATTTACTTTATTTTTGACGCGAACCTTTTGACTCTTTGAGTTTTTTTCTGGTCAAAGTTATTTACTAGTACGCCGATTTTAAATAAAATTTGTATCAAGCCCACTTACCGGTATATATAGTAGCATCATAAAATTTATAGAACTTTTTATCTTACATTCCAAGATGCAAAGGAATATTTTACAGGTAGAAATTAATAAACTTATACACAATACTAATGTTACTGTAAGTCATCCAGTCGTTCTGGTAATTTTAGCATTTTATAAGTAAACTATTTATATACATTATTTTAAACTAATACACACTTTTAAAAGCCTTTTTACAATCTGATGCATTAGCCACCAGTCAAGGGATGACTAGTCAAAATTCAAAGAGGCTACGAAAATTTAAGACGATTATGAAAAACAATAAAAGGCCTTCCAATAATCTCACCTGTACTTGCTTGCTTTCTTGATTAGGATTCAATTGTAACAACACCGGTTTGCCAAGATAAGTCTCTGTGACACAATTTTAGTTTAGAAGCATATTTCCAACTAAAAAGAATTGTAATAAATCAAATAATGTATAAAAACAATTTCTAATATGTCAATTTAATAAGTAACCAGCATATATTTGTAATTCGTTTATTGTTGCTTTTAACTTTGGCTTATCTTGGCTACAGGTGCTCGCAGTTCTATGTTGTTGCTGAACACCGAATGTTTACGGTAGTCCAGGGGAAATGGCAGCCGAATAAGGTTTCGGCTTAAGTACAAGCATGTAGCTAGTAGGGTAAGAATACAACTTATATTGCTTACTTTTATGAAAAACTATACACAGTGGCGTTTAATTGTGTTTGCAGTGCTCTTTTACTAAATTTTTAGACTTTTTTCATCGTTCTATCAAGGAGTTATAACATCTGTTATAACTCCTTGGTTCTATCAACTCGTTGTAAATATGAGTTTTCAAAATTATAATGCCAGGGACTTAAAATTTGGACACAGATAGCCACATATGTTATTATTAATAAACTGCGTGCATTTTATGTTATCTCATATCCATATTCATATTTTAGTAAAACCATGTTTGCCAATTTTTCAGGAGATCATTTTTCAAATTACTAGTAAAATAAGCAAAAGTTGCCCAATTATACTGGGAGTAGATGTACTAGTACAGCATATAATCCATGTGTTAGCACTCCTTTTAACAGTTTTTGTTGTGCTAACACAACGCACAATTTAAATTTTGGTTGTAGGATTTTCCAGCAGAGAAATATGTACCAATATGTGAAAGCAGTGTGAAGGATTTTTTGTCACATACGTATGTGCAATATGAGGAAAAAAACATTTTCATGCAATATCTTTCTTTTAAAGTCATTGTGTATGCTAGTTAAAAGCCTATAAGTCCTTGTTCATATCATCTATTATATACTAGTATATATATATTTTTGTTTATTGCCCTACAACCCTTTCCCAACTTAAAAAGGCATAATAAAGAACCATGTCATTTAAAAAATATTGACATTGACCTAAATCATTTAATGAAAAATTGTGCAAACCATCAAATTCACATGTGGGGCAGGTCAAGCAATGTTTTTTGAGTCAAAGAAAATTGTTTTATTTTCCTCAACAAAAATTGAATTTGGCTAAAAAATCGTGTATAGAATACCCTTAAACATATCTGTCATGGCATGAGGTTTAAATTGATGAAATTAGTCGTAATAAAAAAAATGATAGGGCAAGTAATTTTTGATGAGATCAAGTAAACTCCAGCCAATGCTGCCTTCAAGCAACAAAATTAGTTAGGTTTATGCTGTTTATAGTTTTTGAGTCCGATAGATGAAAAAATTCATATCACATAACAGTAACATTCAAGTTTTTCTTTCTTATGTATCTATTTAATATTATTAAAGGTGCTGTAGAAGGAAAATATCTGATATACTGCAGTACATGTGCTGCACTGTATTGTACTCTATGAAGATTTTATTCTCTCCAGTTAATCAGTAAAAAAAACTGTCAAGATGTCTCTGAAGACTCGCATCCATGGGTTCACAGCCTGGGTGAATCTAAGGCTGAAACCATATGATATCCTAATGAACAATGTTATCATGGACTTGCTGACTGGAACAAATCTCAAACTGCTGGTTGAAAGCATGACTGGAAGAGAGATGAAAAATGTCAAAAGTTTTGATGGGTAAGTTAAAGCTACATTTAATTGTACTTTGCAAATGTATTTTCTCTCTCTCTTTACTAAGTGGTATAAGTAATATACAGTAGATGATATTGATAAACAATTCTCTTTTTTCAGGTTGACTCAGCAACAGAAAATAACACGAGCTGAATGGGTTGTCAAGGAATTAAAAGCATGGTAAGTTAAACTTGATCAATATATTGGTTAAGAGTATTGTTATCTTAGTAATCAAAAGCAGTTTTATCCATTTTGACATTATTATTATAATATTGAGCAGTACGGGATTATATGCAGAATATGAACATGGACAACAAGAACCTCCAGCTTGGAGGCAGTTAAAGACTTGCATCTTTCTTGTAACAATAGATAGATGAATTTTAAAGCAAAACACACTTTGCATCCGTTTAAAGTTTGTTCTGTTATTACAGTAAACTAGTTCCTGAAGATGTCTATGTAGATGCCAGACTTTTTGCCATGAGAGGTGCTGATCAGGTGAGGGGATGATGGCAACATTAAATGTGTTTGATGAACAAAAAGCTTTTTTTACTACTCTAGACCATGTTTTACACTCTATGCACAAGTTTTGTCTAAGCAAGTGGTTTTAAACTTTGGTAAACTTTGTGGAAGTTTCATATGTGTGACATATGTTTTTACTGTTGAATTTCTCTGAAATGTTAATTTAAGGACCAAAAAATTAATTTTTTTTAACTTCAGAGATATTTTAAAAGGTGTATCACTATGTAACATTGTATTCTAGGTTTTTGACTTACTCTGGCGCCTGGTCAGTCATGACATTTGGTTTGTTTGGGAGAGAGCAGAGTACCTGCAGCATGCAGAAGACCAGGTGTTAGTAGCTGTCCCTTTTAAGGTAAAAATGGATATGCTGTCAAAATTTTGTCATTTAACATTTACTTATAGCCTATTTATTACTCAACTGATGTGAAGTAACAATCACCATATGTGATTCAAGTGCAAGGCATACATGTAAGTATACATGATTAGTCGTTCCTGTAAACAGTCAACTGATAAAAATTGATTGACAAGTAAAATATGATGCTTAATTTTATCTGCAGTGGACACCTGAGCCCCCTCCAAAGAAAAGGAAGAAGACTAAAGTAAAGCAGTCATTGCTGTCAGGATTTGGTGCAGCATCCTTGGTTCAGGAAGACCTCAATGATGATGTAAGAGATTTGTTTTTGATATAGCAGTAGCTTCTTATTTGCAAAATAAAGATAAATTTCAATGTTTTCAAGATTTTTGTTGTAATTTTCCACAAAAAGTAATTCAGTAAGAGAGACCTTGTTTTGCCCTGAATAATTATAATCTATTGTATATAGGCACAACAAAGAAAGCCTGTAAGTGATTATTTCCAATAATTTTATTCTGATAGCAAGATGAAATGGTCCCAATAATGATATTGATATTTATTTGTTATACAGGCTCCTGATCCAAATGAATACTATGACCCCTTTCCTGGCTCAGATATCATGAAACAACTAAAACCTAAGAAGATTGATCCCAAGAACTACCCAGCACCTGATGACTGCATACTTGAAATGGTCAATGCACATCTCAATGTGAGTGTCAGGCTTTTGATTCAAATTGCTCCCAGAAAACTATTATTTTTGATGCATTGTTCCAGCCTCAATGGTTTTTCAGTTTAGAACTTTTTAGACAGTAACCTACAGTATTCAGAATTGATACAAGTTGCAGTCTATATGTTGAACAGCTTAAGCTGGCTTGATAATTTAGCATTAAAATCGTATGTGTTTTCATCTTTTCCAGATGAGTAAGGATGGGAAGAAATTGAAGTGCATAGTGAGTTGATAAATTACATTTGAATAGATGATGTCTCTGATAATAATAGTATTGACAAAAATGGTAATCTGTCTTCATTTAAACTTTTTGGCAACTGCTTGTCAGTAATACCTCAGGTAATCAGAAGTTTTTGCAGCTCCACAAAATTTGCTTATGAACCATTGACTATCAAAAACTTTGGTCACACTTTAATATTCTTATCAGTTATTTTGATAACCATTTAGAGTACAAGGTCAGTCAGTTAAAATAAAATTACAAAGTCTCATTTAAAAATTAAAGGGACCTTTGGCCTAATATCAACCAACCTACATTTTAAGTTTTTCATTGATCTTGTACAGATCGTCATACTGCATGAGATGAAGGATATAAAAATACAAAAGCACATATATTTCTGGGCTGACATTTAAGTAGGTATTTGAATAATGAATAAAAGCACTTACACATGTCTTCATCTAATGTAAACTCTCCTTTTTTGCATTCACTCTCTTTATGTAAATATAACTAAAAGCTATATGATGTATATCTTTAGAGTGTGGATGACCTCATGGACAGCCGTGTTCTTTGTGCGCTGGTCAACTCTTTTGTACAGGATACGTTTACACCAGAAGTTTTGCTCAATGACAGGTAAGTGAATGATTTTGAAAGTCCCATTGGTTATTTGTATGCAATCATTATTTAAGGAATAATTTCACATTACAACAAAATTGTAGTTAATATGATCTTGCTTTCAAAGAAATGAAAAAGATAGATAATATGAGTTTATTTAAGTTACTGGTTCCATCATTTTATATATCATATATATGTTCATTTTATTTGTAAAGGTGGACTATGAACTTGTGCTTAAGGACAGCAGAAAAGATGTTTTATACTGAAACTCCCTTCGATTCTGAAGACTTGGCTGAGGTGGGTATTTTGTAACAAATTTTCTTCAGAGTATGATCACAAAGCAAGCACTATTTTATTTTTTACTGAAATGATAATAGGTGAAAATGAAGCTGTAGATGCACATAAAATATTTGTAACGTGACAGGAAACTTAAAATGATTTTAGAAAGTAGTTAAATGGGCTTACACCATTCCACTAACAGTTTTCATGTTTTTAGGGAGACCCTATGGCTGTGTGTGCCTATTTTGCATTCTTCTTTATGGTTGGCTACAAATTTAGGCAGGCCAAGGCAGTTGTCAACAGAATAGTAAGGACACTTTTTTCTCTCTGTTATAACACTGTACTACAATTTTTAAACACTTATATCTAGCCATTTGAAATCAGTTACTAAAGAGTATTTATACATGTAAATATATTTTATATAAAAACTGGACCATATTTAGATTTTATATAGATTAAATCAAAGTTTAAGATGCCCTGAGAAATCCATATTCAGTGTCCCATTTGTAAGAGAATCAATTTTCTCACTTTTAGAGTTTACAAATGGTCTTTTCAGAGACTTTTTTTTGTTACTATATCTTATATTAATTGTAATTGTGTCAACTCAATTTACAGGAGTGGCTGCATCGACTTATTCGTGAAAACAATCATGAAATGGATGAACTGGCCACTGTGGCTACCAACATACAGGAACTGAGGAGGAAGAAAGATCTGAAACAGAAATTACAGATGTACAATGATGGTAAGATTTTATTTTTGAATCAATTGTCAAACCTTCAAATTAATTTCTTTTAATAAAGATATTTTATTACTTGTAAGGGAGGTGTTTACTTCTGTGTTCTCTCTATGTATCTGAAATGGCTCTCTTGAATATGTTATTGTGTGACCCAGTAGCAATGTCTTAGTAACTGTCAATGCTCAGTGCTTGGTACACGTATAGAAATATGTTATGGTAGATTTACATTTCTATTGACTGGGCTTGTACATGTCCATTGCACATCTCCCAGTATATAATGCATACATTTTTCTGCAGAAATTGGAAGGATTCAAGACATGTTTGATCTAGAGTACTGCAGAAAATGGCTTGATCATGCCATAAAGGTTCAGAAAGAGGTACGTATTTTCATTCATTTATTATTTGCCATCATCATTAACTATGTCATATATGAACAATAATAAACTATTTTCTAAAGCAAAACATAAATTAAAAAAAGTATTTACAAACAAGGAAGAAGACATATATTAACAAATGCAAAAAAAAAGTTTTAAGTGATTTACCTGCATAAATACAGTGCAAAATACTTTTAATTTCAGACTCACAAGCTGATCTGGACCAAAATGAAGGAAAAATTTGAAACTTTGCCAGTTCCAAGAAACATTTCTATCAATGACCTTTGCTTGTCATTGTCTATCAATTTGGTAAGATTATCAAATTGATTGTGCTGTTTTGAAAACCCTAAATTTGTTATTATTTCTCAATTTCTCAATTTTGTACAACTTGTTTGAGCACAGTGTTTATGCTAATTGGATAGATATGCAAATCTTTAACATGAAAACAATAGAGCAACATGGCAACATAGGGCTATGTATAGTGAAAACCTTTAAGTGTATCGATTAGATTGTTATTAATTTTGATAATTTCAGAGCCTGACTTTTGGCAGTGCATTTTATCTCAGTAACAACAAAGAACAAGTAAATGAGCTGAGAAAGATGATTTTAAGGAACAAGGAGACAGGAGAATACATTGAAGATTTCACTGCCAAGAATAAAGGTCAGTTTGAATTATATTTTATTGAAATTCTGAAATAAAGATATTTTGTTATATGATTATTTTCATTATTGGTTTAAATATTGTGTAATTATTGTATTTTTGGGTGGTGTTTAAAATTGGATTTTCCTTTTTTCAGAGCCAATTCGAAAGATACTCAGACTTCATGCATATGAAACAGTAGAAGTGAATCCAGAAAAATATCCACAATATGATGTAAGTGATTTTTTAATAGTTTGAACAAAGCTTACAAAAATTCAATGGTCACCAGTTCAAGCAGTACTAAGACAGGTATCATGACAATTTTTCCATACTGAAAATACTGAAAATATTAAACATCCTGAAAATGACAATGAGATGTTACTTTTACAGTAGAAGTGACTTGGGAAGCAGAATATATACTACCTGTACATCACATATCAGCACATGTATTGATGATTTTTCAGATTTTCTTTGAAAGTCCATCAAGGAACAAAAGACTGGAGGCAGGCACTGAGTTTTTGTATCAGATTTTCCCAGGGACATTTGAACAGTGGCACAAACAAATGTTTAGGGCCATCAAGGAAAATGAAGTGGATTCTGTGAAAAAGATGGTGTTATTCTTCAGGAATACTCCTTCATTTATCAATGCAAGAGAGAAAACTACAGGCAACACTGCACTTCATATAGCTGCCAGATTTGGACAATATGTGAGTTTTGTCGTAAACAGCATCAGTCTGTTATATATTTATTAACATTATTCAGGTTGGGCTTTAGAAGGACAGGGGAAGTTGTCACCTCCTTGCTGTAGTCTCAAATACAAGATATACCATTTAAAAAAAGAAAGCTCCTTGGGTGAATGTTGTTTCAACATGTGCAATATAAAATTTGAAAACCTGTATATGCCTAAATGTTTATAGTGATCATTTGTTTGGTTTTTGAGAATTTTAATGATAATTTTAATGATAGTTTTTAAATAATCAATATTTGAGAAGATATTTACTTCATGCAGATTTTATTATAATCTGCAGTAATTTTTATTGCCTTGAAGAACATAAATTATAATCATTGTATTTACCTGTACTTTTCTAAAAAAAGATTGGCATTTGGAGGATTACTTTTCCATGAAAATGTTTCTTCGTTCTAGGAAATAGTCCAGTTTTTGTTGGAAAGCAATGCTAATATAGATGCCAGAAATGCTTACAAGTACACACCATTGTTCTCTGCTTTGGAGGGTGTACACAGGAGGGTGGGGCATGTAAGTATTGCTAGATGTTTTTAGTAGCATTGCTTAATAATGTAATAAAAATCAATAAAATTATTAATCAGGACATTTAAAATAATTGTTTAACTAAGAGGTATTTATATGGCTTTTACTGTTTAACATCATTTCACAACTATTCTTAAAATTGTTGATAAATTCATGCAAAGTTTGTTTGCACTTAATACATTGGCACATTTGTCATTCTAGTTACTTGTTGAATGTGGCTGTGATGTTAACAAGAGGAGCATTAAAGGTCTGACTGCCTTTGAAACTGTGAAAAATGACGAGTTGAAAGATTATCTCATAGGTAAGAACTTTTTTGTTTGTGATGTACTTGAATCTCCAGATATTTTATTTGTCAAGATATAATTTTGTCATGGATGCAGTGCTGATTTTCCCAGAATTTAAGGTACCAACCCACATACAGATTGTACTGAAGTGAAAGTAATTATTCATTCCAGAGGCATATGAACACTACTCTGATGTAGTTCCTAAGATAATGGCAGGTGACCTGGAAGTTCTGGAGGAAGTTGTCAAAGATCACATCACTGGAGTCAGGCAACTGAACAGTCTACGCAGCAGGTGAGATGCAGGGTGTCCACATGGCACAGGTCGTGCAGTTTTATAATGCATTCCCTTTTTTCCTAAATCTGAAATCCAGGAAACAATTTCCTTGAATTCACCAATGAATTTACAGCTGCATCAGGCAGCTGTTTGCAATGGTACTCAGTACAATACGTGAAGTGAAGACTGCAGACCCTTTTATTATTATTATTAATTTTATTATTTTAACTCTATTTACAGGTGTGTCAATGGTAGCACCCTGATTCACACAGCAGCTTACTTTGGTGCAGTATCTATAGTGAAGACCTTGCTCACCTTGAGAATGGATGTGGACCTTAGAGACTACAAAGGAGCCACACCACTTCACAGGTCACAGAATGTAGAGACAATGGAGGTCAGTTTCCTCTGAACAGTCTTAGGTCAAAATATGGGTTAAACCCTAAAATTATAACTTTGGATAACTTGTACCAAAAAGAGTTTATAAAGATATGCTGGTATTGCCAATAGTTTGGAAAAAATGTTCATCAAGGCATTTGCAAAATTTTAATATTGAAATTTAAAAATTTTAATTTTAGAATTGAAATTTTAGATTTGATGGAAACTTGAAAAGAGCATAAGGTAGGTGCAATAATATTACTGTAAAATCTCTGTGTATTTCCAGGTTCTGCTAGAGGCAGGAGCTTCAGTGAATGCAGAGGATCTGGAAGGTAACACACCTCTTCATGTGAAATGCTATGGAGAGACTGGCAAGGAGACACAGCTTGGATGTATAGAGCTTCTTTGTCAGAGTGGGAGTAAACTGGTGTCTAGAAACAATAGGGTAGGGATCCCATTTATAACTCTGCAAAGGTTTGAAAGTGATGGTTGTTTTTAAATGTGGTTTCAACATTGTCAGTGAAGATTTTATAAAATAATTTATCTGATATTTAAAAAATGCTCCTAAAAACAAAATATCAATTAAGTTTCAATTTAAAATTGTTCAAATTCCCATAACTTTAACTTCATTTTAGAAAAATAATTTTAACATATATCAAAAGATTCTTTATAAATTCTGATTGAAAATGATAAACCTGCCTGAAATTCTCCAGGGTTTGATGCCAATCCACTGCTGTGCCATGCAGGGAAGAATTGATGCCATTCAGTTGCTGCTGGCAGCAGACAAGAAAGAAGAAATCAAGAAAGATCTCTCCAAAGAGGACCCAAAACTTCCACCCAGCTTGCCACACCTAGCAGTGGCCAATGACTGCATGGAGTGTGCTGAATGGTAAAGTGTTACTATGATTTAACTCCAAAGTTTTCATTAATTTTTATCACAATATAAAAAAATGCACATAATTTATGAAAATGGATTAGAATTCAAAAAAGATACTTATCTTTGTCTGAGATCAGTGGTAAAAAAATTAATGATTTATTTTACAGGTTGATTGAAAATGGATTTGAATTTAAAGAAGGAGAGCCAGACTTGCTAGTACAAAGAATTCTGGCTGAACAAGTGAAAGTGTGAGTAGAATAAGGAATTTTAAAATCTGATTACATTTTGATGTCATTCACTTTGTAGGATAAAGTATGTACTTTACAAGTCAACAATGTATTACGAGAAAGTGTAATATTTACTGACAGATTTTGATCATTATATCAAAACTTAATTGGAAATGAAATTTATTGTAAATATATAACCATTGATATCCTTTGTTTTAATTTTTTTCCAGTATTCAACAAGGAGAAGCTATTAAGTTTTTATTAGATCATGGAGCCTCAGCCAATCCAGTCTATCCTGGGGGAAACACGTAAGTTAAATGTTGATACTTTCCACATTTTGTGACAAATACAACTTAATATCTCTACTGAAATCAGTGTGCACCCCTTCAGAGAGGTTGTTATATGTGAATATCAAATTTGAAGTTGTGCATTTGACTAAGAGAATGCTGGCCTTGGTTTGATATTTGAATATCTTTTTCCGTTCAATTTCAGTGCCCTGCACTATGCTGCCAGTATGAGTCACTCCACAGAGATCCTGGAGTTGCTAATGGGTTATGGTGCCGAGGTGGATGCCCCTAACGAGGACCAAGCCACGCCTTTGTTCTTCTCCACTCAGTGCAACAACCAGAGTGCAGCCAGTGTGCTCATTGAAAATGGAGCTAACTACCGGTGGAAAAATGCTCAAGGTACACAGTGTTCAGTTATCACTTGAGAAAAAAGTGCAATTCTTATGGTTTGCCTTAATAGATTGTCTTTAACTGCAAAAAGGAATTAATACCTTGGCTGCAAAACGGTTATCATATTAAATCTGAAATATATGTCACTTTTATTATACATTTTTGCAGGACTGACAGCTTTTGATTGCATCCTGGACTTTGATGATTGGGTTGAGTGTGGCTACTTCAATGATGAGATAAGAGCTAGACTCAAAGGTAAATGATTAAAGTTAAACATTTAAATGCTATCAGTTTCCAATACCCCACACACAACATAATTCATATGCTTAGCTTGTTAACCTTGTCCAAGTCTATCAGCATAAATTCAGCCAATTGAATTTTTTTTACATGTGTAATTATACCGTTTTTTAATCCAGATAAAATATTTCCATCACATTTTAGTCAGTGCAATTTTGAAAAAATGATTTTACCAAAAGGAAAAAAAGAGAAATTAATCTAATCATAATATGGATTTCTTTTCTACTTGTAGCTTACAGTTTAAAACACACCAGAGATCTCATCCGTGCAATCAGCAAAAAGGTAAAGCATTCCGGTCCTATACGCCAACCACCACGCACGCCTGATCTCACGCGGCAGGCTTCCAACCTGAGTGGGCAAACACTGCTCCCTATCAGCGGAGGTTCCAATGCCCTTTGGTCAGCCAAGACCAGTGCATCTGCCACCACCCCGGCTGCCTCCCCGCGCCAGATTACCTCCCAGCTCTCTCTGAGAAGCCAGTCCTCACCAGGTCTGCTGCCTCCTCTGAAGTCTGCAGGTTCAGCTGCTGTGAAGTCTGCAGGGTCCTGATGATATTCTGCTTGTGTTTTAGATAGAAGACTATAAGCAGCAAACAGTCCTACAAAATGCTGATGCGATCAAAGCAGAAAAGAAGTTGATTGCCTCATTTCTGTCTTGAAAAAAATTTGGACCTCTGTGAAATTGTTGCTCAGAGATCAGTACGAATTGAAAAGATCAATGTCATTATGAATGGATATTACAGTACAGGGGCTGTACATGTATTTTATACCAAGACTATCAAGATTAACTATTTATAAGTATTTATATTTTTCAGTAGTTTTGCAGCTTGAAGATGGCATTGCATGCACAATTTTATTTACAACATATTGAATATTTTGACCATTTACTAATTCTGTGCCTTTTACAGTGAATGCCGATTGTGATATGCAACTTTTATGTCAAATTCATTGTACTGATGTATTTTAGAATCATTTATTGTAAACATTACCTAGTAATGGCTCTGTGATATTGCAGGTTTTGTATACTATACCTTTCTTATGTCTGTTGTATATCTGCATTTTGCTTATTTGTAAATAAAATTTTAATTTGGAGATACATATTGTGAATTTTTAAAAAAAGGTGTAGTTAATATATTCCTGTTGCATTATCAAAAAAAAAAAAAAATAATAATAAAAATAACAATGGAAAAAGGGTTCATTCAAAGTTTTAACATTTTTTATGGATGTTAAATTTTCTTGTTTTATTAGGGAGAAAATATGTAATAGCTATCTGCCATCAGTGCTAAGAAAAACTTTACACAAAAAAATTTATTTCTAAAAAATTGAAAACTGCCTGTAACATTTGTACTCTTAGCATGCAAAATCCATGATTTCCTTTAAATCACCAATTACTATTATTCAATGATGTTTATTACACAATTTACTTGGAGAAAGTATGTTAAAGTGCTGAAAATGACTGATGTTCTTTAAAAAATGTTTATTTACATAATGCAAGGTTTGAAATTCTAGTTACTTTTACAAGAAGACTTCCTGGAATGCAAGTATAATTCTACACAAACTGCCCATAAGACAATTAATTTTAAAATTTAATCATCAAGATTACGTTATTTAAAACTACAATCAAGAATAAAAACTATCACTAAAGGAAAACATCTTGTATAAAGCATATCAGTGGCTGAAATGCTTCCAAATGTGCATTTAATTCTACAGACAATTGAGGTGAATGATAAGGTGTCATATCAAATTACACACCATTATCATTCAACTTTATCGTACAATATTTTATAAGATCAACCAAAAAGCAGGCATGACACATCATTACCTCTAGAGTTAAAAGGTAACCTGAAACCTACTTAAATGTGCAATGGTTGCATGGATAAATTTAGATGTTGGGTCATCCAAAAAGTTTTAAAAATGCATCTTGAAAAAGAAATGCTCAGACCGTTGTACAAATGCCTCCCCGTTTGGTCTTTTTTTAGCAGATGACCTGCATTTGATTGATACTGATGGCTTGTCCTTTTCTGGTGTCATTTCCTTCAATACCTCCCCCTCCAGTTTCTGTTCCTTCCTCCTCTCCCTCTGAAGCCACCCCTTCCACGACCTGAAAAGGAAAAATAAAGCTAAAATCATGCTTGGCATTGATTAAAAAACTTTCTCATAAGTGAATGCTCAACTTGGTTCTTCAATCACAAGGGACAAGAACATATTACATCTTAACACATGCTAGAACCAGACGCGACAAGTCTTTGGTTCAACATTTCGTACCTCTGTTTTGTGTAAAGGTTCCTGCCTTCTCACTGAATTTCCCACCGGGTGGGTGATACAGCACCCTGTCTGTGTGGCTATGAGACTTCTTGGCTGCAACATCACCATCACCCTGTGCTCCTCTCTTCTGGCTGAAAACAGCAATGGTATCATTTAGTTTAAAAAAATGATCAATTCATGCACTGCAGAATTACAAGATTACTAATACACTGCATCAATATCTTAGTTGTAATTATATAAAATCAACATTTTATTGACATTCAAAAAATACAACCCTGCCTTAGAATTATATGCTTGGACTAAGAAGTTAATTTTATATAATTAACAATATTCATCACCATCTATAAAAAAAACCCTTTCCACCTGGTACCAGTCATCAACTTACCCTGCTGGGGATGTAGGTATAGCAGTAGGAGCTTTTTGCTGCAACACAGAAGAAATATACCAAGGTTAAAAGGTTCCACTGAAAACATACAATCAGTTTTTTTTTTTTTTTTACATCTGATCAGCCTTTAATAACTTGTTAAACAAACCACTAACAAATTAGCAAGAAAATCATCATTAATGTGGACTGACTCACCACTGGCTTCCACGAGAGGGATATGACTGCCTTGTATGAGGGTGGATTGTGGAACAGGTCTTTGATCAGGACATTAATATTGTTGGTTATCTTGAGAGCAGTCACTTTTAGTTTGCTCTGAAAAATCACATAAAATAACTTTCAAAATACAATGATTTAAAAAAAGAAAAAATGATAATTAGAGGTTATTTTGTACATTAATATTCTACGATCTCCATGCCATACAATAGCTATATTTTATGATAATTAAAACACACATTTGGACGGCTTCAAATAGTATTGATATTTTACCTCCTCTGTCTTTAAAGCTTCTCCAGTTTTGCCTTGTAATGCCATTCTAAGCTGTTTTATATACACCTGGATGCCCCTGGCAAAATACTGTAACCTGAAAATTGCATTCATCAGTGATGAAAACCAAAGCACACAATATAAGGTATTATCTTAAAACGTATTCAACCTCAGGAAATCTTAATCTAAACACCTCATCTCAAGAGACTTACTGAGAGCTAATTTCAAAAACATACTACATTCTGTTCTGCTCGCTTGTGAAGATGTCATACTAACTGTTTAAATATTTTATCAACCTGAGTCTGAAATCTTTGAGTCTCTCTGCATTTTCTTCTCCAGTAAGAAACTGTGGCTCCTTTCTGGCTATCTGATGGAAGGCAAACATCAATGACTCCACATACGAGAACTCTAGCTTTGGTTGCTCACTTTCTGGTGTGTTCTCTCCATCTTCAGTCAAAGGGGGAAGGGGCATATATTCCTAGAATGAAATAAAAATCCAACATATAATTTGAGATTTAAATGGTAAACTAAATATCATAGTAAATTTCACAAAAATGTTATTTATAAATACAGATTTCTATACTGCTTGTTGTCTCCTTCCAATATCACCCTTCAGTATAAATAAATACTACAAAAGAAGTCCATTGCAATTAACAATAAGAATACCCTTTTTAACAATAACAATATTATTAACTCACCAAAAGACAGTCATATAACTTTTCCAATCGCTCTGATAAATTTTCCATGTCTCCACAAGTGGTTGACATTTCAGCAAACACTTTGACAAGCTCCAGGCGGTAGTCAGTGTCATCATCATCAGGGCTTGCTGTCTCAGATAACTTGGGGAGCACTTTATCACAGAAATAAGCAACAAATTTGGTGGAGTGAACATTTTTCTGCAAATAAACAAAAAACATATTTCAAACTTATATCCAACAAAATTTACTGAAAAGACTGAACTACTCAACTTGTTATTGGCAAGTGTTCTCTCTACTACAAATTGCCAATATTCCCAAATAATATAGTGAAACATGCATGTTTTTCTTATTGCACTATTCAACTTGATGAAGCACCTATCAGGACTTTTTTCATTTCAATTTTTCATTAATTTTGTTTCTTCTATGTAAATAAACTCTGATACCAATTGTTTGGTTTAAGTTACAATGTTTGGAATCTGAACTTCCATGTGCATAAATGGACCAACACAGACTCAATTATATCAGTAGTCAATAAGATTCCTTAACATGGGACCTGATGATGCCAAGTGGTCAATTGCCCATCTAAGTTAGTCCCGCATGTTCTTGGTCAAATTGTTTTAGAACAGTGAATACTCACAGAAAAGAATGGCAACCCTTGCTTTGTACACTGCAACAGTTTGTCCACACAGTCTACATCTGTGCTCTAAAATACAAGAATAATGAATAAACATGAATTACAATCTTAAAATATTTGAGTTTGTCAAAAAGATCGTAATTCGAATTAATTTAACAATCAATTAACCAAGAAACAAATGTTTGTTTTTCACACTTACACTAAACTCTCCATCTACTGACTCCATATCTGCCTGTTCCGTAATCAATTCCACTAACTGCTGTCTCCCCAGCACTGTCTGGCAACATTTCAAGACGGACAACATTTGCATAAAAGCAAGAAACTCATCTCCAGTTACATCCACTAAAACCTACAAAATAATGATGTGAAAAGATGTAAAATCTGAAATCAACTCACCAACAACATAAAAATGAAATACTGAGATCTCTTTATAAGGAAAAAAGAAGCAAAAATTTACCTTTTTGCTTTCTTCTAAAACAAATTCTTCAACTTCTTTTGTCATGATTTCTTCGGGTATCTGCTTCACTTTATTCTGTAAAAACTTGATGGCTTTTTCCCGCAGCGTGTCTTCACCATTCAATATCTGGGAGAATATGCCTTGGAAAGTACCTGGTAAATAAAATAAGGTATAATTATAGGTCGAGTTAAGAATTTGTTTAGACATTTTCCTTATTAAGAATTTAATTAGGTTTATGTAATATAAATCTTCTATAAACTGCTCCAGTTAATATCCAAATCTTCATAATGCACAATGACATGAATGGAATCAAAGACACAATTAAAGACTGGGCATAAAAATCCAAACACTTTAAAAACACCCAGTAAAAATACAAGATCAATTCAATTACCTTTTGCATCAAAGCTGAAGAGATTCAATAGTGAAGAAGTCACTAGACTGAGTTCATTGGAATCTTCACTCTGTAGCAGCTGTGTGAGGACATCAGATATCCTGGGGACATGCTCTGGGTTACTCTTACACAGGGTAACCAGGTCCTTGATGGCTTGTTTTCTAATCTGAAATACAGAAAAAAAACTAACACTTGCTGTTTGGTAACAGTCACTTTACAGATGGAATTGTACTGAAGACGTAAGTAAAATTTACAAAATAAAAAGCATCGTTATAATTAATCAGAGATTGTCAATATATATTGGCCTCACAAATGCTTCACATAAATCAAATACAAAGGTTTAACATGGTACAAAGTTATTAAGATAAGCAAAATGTTCATACAGCTACATCCTCATCTTCACATAGATCCAGCTGTGCATCTATGGCCCTCTCAGACAGTTGTGGGAAGTACTTAAAGAATCTTGCCATGAACTGTGAAGCCAGACGCTTCTCACTGGAACCTCCATTCACCCCATTCAAGATAGAAAGATAGGCCTCTTCATGCTGAAAATAAAACATCAAATATCAATATTTTGTTTTTCAATTTCATCGAAATTTTTATAAATTCAACCAAAGTTACCAATTACTTTAACTTACTACGAGTAACCTGTATATTGCAAAATGGTAGTGTGAAGAATATAAATAGAACCAGAGATAGAACCAAAGCATGGTCATATATACATAATCATAAAATGCATTTCCAATCGCCCCTTTTCAATTTGTAAGTGAACATCAAATTCAGGGAAAGACAAGATCATTAAATTTAAACATGACAGTGACTTGGATTCGGAATCATTTTCAAGACAGATCTAAGGATCAGCATACAAATTAACTATTTCCAAACAAAGTTTTATATGACCCTACTAAATCGTTTAAAGGGCATTGTCAATAATATTGATGTTTTTATATAGTACTTGTCCTGATCAGAGAGACTAGATAATTTAATTCTCATGATACATCGTAACATGTGATTTACTTGTAAATGAAGATACCATGAAAGAAAGCGTGAAAGATGTGCGTTAGACGTATTAGGAACTTCAGAAATCCACTATTACCTCTCCCGCTTTATCTTTTGCATCTGCAAGCACTCCAAAGTCCTTGTAAAGTTGTTCTATCGAGGTCATGTTTTTCAGATTTTGTGCCTGATTTTTCACCACGCCGGTCACAAAGCAAAAAGCCGGCTACTTGTGTGTACACACATGAAAGCAATATGGCGGCTCGGGTACAGGGAAAACAAGGATTTTAACACTCTCCCGTAAGTTGGTTAGGTTAGGGCAGGTGACAGGGTAGATGGATCAAAGTGTTGTTTGGAGTTTTGATAAATAACATTTCCATAATTTGCAAAAAGAAAATAAAATAATAAGTTGGTTATAAAACATTTGCACATTAGCTTAACAGCAGTAACGTGTAGGCCCCATAGTTAACTAGGTTGCATGGAGAAAAATAAAATATTAGATTTTTACGTACACTGTAGTAACAGTAGATTTAAATGTACTAATTTGCTGTTATATTTTCGTTTCTAACATGAGGAGTTCGTGAAGAAGTCTCATTTTTTACAGCGCCGTCAAAAGGATAATTACTTATTCAATTCGACGTTATTCGTAAGGCCCTATGCTGACAGCCTTTTTTTATTTTTCAAAGTGTTAAAAAGTACAGATACAAGTAGGCCTATTTTTCTATTATCTACAAAATATTTAGAAAATAAATATGTTTGTCTTTTTCTGTGTTTGTGTAACCTCGATGTTACTAAATACAGGCCTAATTTCCCAGTCCCAAATTTGAAATCTGAATAAGAAATTCTGTTAAGGGCATAAATAGCCTAAATAAACGCCCGCAAAAATTATTTGAAGTAACGATTCGTTCTGTTCATTAAAAGGTAAGAAAAACAGCTTCATTCATGAGCATAAACACTTTTTGAAAGAAGTAAGAGCAAAAACAATTTTCCAGGTTAACGTTTATTTTCATTTGTTTCGCCTATTATCATTAGCATTGAATATATTGAGCGTTCCACACTGAATTTTAGGCCAACGTCCCATCACGAAATCGATAGTAAATTCAATCACCTGAAAACTTTTTTATCAAGAATTATTCATGAAAATAATTTAGTTGTGATTTTTAATTTAACCATAGTAGCATATAATGCAACCCACATCGTTGGTGTGGTGGACTGTTAATTGGTCTGATTAATCAGTAAAAATTCGTGGTGAGACGATCTGATTCCCTGAATATGACGGAAAAATATACAAACTCTGAAGCATCCTACAACATAAATCTACTAACAATGCGAGGTTAGTAGACCCGTAGCAATAGTCCGAAGGTTCAATAGTCCGAAGGTTCATTGGTCCGAATGTTCACTACAGAACCTTCGGACCAACGAACCCTTGATTAAAAAACCGATAAAAATGTTACCGTTTTTCGGACCAATGAACCTTCGGACTATCGAGACGCCCCCAGTAGACCTACGTCCTAAAATCAGCGTGGCATTAGATAACCCTTATCATCCGATAACGTTTTTGCTGATCGCTACCCGGAGTCGCATCAAAATTTCACGTAGGCCCTATATCGGAGATAATACATGCATTGATTTATTCAACACCGGCCGGCACGAAATGCTTACGTGACGTCGACGTTCATCGAACGATCCAATACTATTTATCTGGGATCATTTTGTACTTTAAAAACGTGGCACGTTTTGCATTTCTTAGCATTAATAATGGATCCTTTAAAATTTCACTAAAATTTCAGCTAGAAATCTGATTAGATTTTGCGTATGAAGCATTTAACGGTCGTTTCCCCTCTCGTTCCACAAATAAATGTAGTGAGTGAAGAAAAAAAATTCCATTCAAGCCGGGCTTACCTTTTAACAATGTTACTAGGGAAAACTTTCAATAAGATGTTGAATAAACTACAGAGCATGTAATAAGTTGCATTAATTTAGACAGGGTCGTCAAAACGAAGGTTTAACCAAACTGCCAGGATATTTATGGCACATGAAACAATCATTTTTAAAAAGTTAATTGCAACAATTCTATTCTTGAATATATTCATTCTTTTCCTAAGCATTTATTACAAAAGGAAACAACCATATGTTTTTATATTTTATTTGAAAATGCATATTATAAATTTGGTTACTTTTAGCAGAACAAGTTTGTAAAAAAACAACCAATATCACAAGTAACACATCCACACCTAACTCCACAATTTAAGTCAGGTGCTTCATAAACACTTTGATAATGGTACTTTTCTATGCTTCTTCATGCCAAATCAACCAATTGATGAGCAATAAATATAGAGATGTAGAATGCCTTTAGCCTTGTTTGTTACTGCAATGTATTCAGTTAAATGTGAACTGTATTTTTTTTTTTTTTTTGCTGTACACATTCAATATAGGACATTTTTTATTCCGACTGCATCTTATCAATAATGTAAAACCTACTGCCTGCAGCACCGTGTCTGAAGAAAGAACGTTGAAAATACATTTATGCAACTTTTTCCTCCACTTCCAAAGCACTGTCCAAAAAGTTATTTGCCAAGCATTTTAATTAGAATATAAAAAACTAGACAATTCTGGGATCCAATTATTCACCCATAATGTAGTCATTATCAGTATATCAGGAAAAGATTTCTACATCATGCATGGCTAGTCATGCTAAACTGACCTTACTAAGATAACCTGCTGATAGTAAAAATAACAGGATATGCACTATGAGCAGTAATTTGTAATTTGTAATTCTGGACCTTAAAAATTTTTCTTAAAAATAGAAAATTCAAAATGACTATGAAGCTCTGATTAGATTGAACCACTCCTTAAAAATAGGTATTGTAAAAGTCTCTTTTGTATTTGCACAGCTTTTTTTTTTTTAATCTTTCTATAACTCCTCTTTAGGCAATTTATATGGGCCTTCTAAAAACTCTTCAGGAACATCTTCATCCTTGTCAGATTTTTTATAGAAGCCCAAGTCTATTAAAAGCTGATTGCACTCTTCCCTATTGTATTTGCTGAGGTCAATTCGCTGAAAAAAAAAAGAAAAAGAAATTTCAATGGATGCATCGATTTGTGAACGACAAAAAAAAAAAAACTATTTCTAATGAATATCTGATCTCTCATTGTCAACTAGAATAAAATTAGCTTTCTTTTCAGGTCAAAATTTTAACATCAATATAAAAATGCAAATTTATGCTGGTGCTGTGGTACATTAACATGCCTAAGGGTTCACATATTTACGTGGCAAGGAAGAACTACTAAAAATTGTGCTGGCAGTCCATTTTCACAGAAAGATTTAGCGTTTCCCTTTGAAATAAATTGTTATAATGCCTGTCCCAACTCCACTGTCAATGGTTTCAAATTCAAATCTTACCCTATACAGTAGTTAAATACCTACAAAAACTGATTTATTACTCAACCCAGCCTATTGTCACCCCTCACCTTGATGACTTCTCCTGCCTTGTTCAACAACAGTAGATCAGGTGGAGCACCTCCAACCTTCTTAAACTCTACATTATGGCTGCATGTTGTTAAGGAAAGCAGGGAAATTTCTTATTTTGAGGAAAAAATACTATCCAACCATTTATAAATTATATAATAAAAAAGAGCATTTTTAAAAATAACAGCATAGACATG